TTCACGTTGAATATCTTAATGCACTTATGCAACTAGATTATGATTTAATCTCGGGGAAAAAAAGAGTCGAGCCATTAACGAAATAGAAACGGAAATAAAAATAGAGTAGCTATGTTCCCGGACCCAAGAAGACGGTAGTGCTTCAGTCTCATATCGGATTTCACCACCGGAAGAACAAAAATTACAACGTCCAGCATTATCAGCCTTGTCCGCTGTTCCCCGCCCTTGTCGTTCTTTTATGTTTCTACTGTTCGTATTTTTGAAAAGACGCCGTACGCCATATGGGGTTGTAATGAAATTCTGACATATAAGAGCGAGAACGAATATCCGCGAGGAGTTCGGGAGTTCAAAATACTGGAAAAGTGCCGATTTACATACGCAATTCGCAAACCTATTCACAAATGCATCGAGGTTTCGAGATACTCTCCGAATTACCCTGTATATATTCCTTTATATTTTCGCATTGATAACCGCGATACGTTACATCCACTTGTAATAAAATTCTGTTACGTATGAACATATAAGATTCCATCGCGCTACTGTAACAAGTTTATTCTCTAAAAGACAATCAGTGGATGATCACTGGAAACAGTGAATGTTCACTGCTTCGCAGTTATAGATGTAGCATTGAATAATTTACTGCTATACTTACAATTAGAGGAAAGTCCCCTGTGAGACAGGATCTTAATATGGAATAGTGGAGTTTCTTTTAAATTAATAGGTCATCATCAGTTGATTCCATCATAAATTTATTGCCTTTGGAGCAAAATCTGTTTAGTGGAAAATTAATTGTTAGATTGTGGTTACGAAAAAAGATTTGTGATTGAATTTGAACGTTGAAAACCTGCTACCTCATATTAGAAACCTATTTCATAATAGAGGACGTTCCTCTATAAATGTTTTCAGTGATAATGCACTAATTGACTTTTAAATAGTACAGTCATTGGTTTACGCTGTGTCCTTTTCAAGAAATGTAGAATCAATTGTTAGTGAGAATAAAATGAATAAATTGTGGCACCAGTCAGTTTATTTAGAAATGAAATGTCCCACACATTTTTGAAATGTCAAATAAAATTTGATAATCGTAATTCATCGCTATTTGACTTCTAATCGCTTAAGGGCTGCTGATGTGACAACAAGAAAAATTGTGAAAAAATATAGGAATTTCTGGAGATTTTAATATACGAATGCGTTAGATTTACGGATATTTTGGGGGCGGACCGGGGGCGGTCGGCTTTGAAAAAATCCGTGCGACGGGGATGACTTATGCCGCGTTTTCATGCGGCGTCGGGACACCTTGCGAAGAGTGAAAAAGGACCGCGCCATCATAAATCAGCACATTAATTCGTAACGAGATTAGTATAATAAATCATCGTCCACACGGTATTTGCATATGCCGTGCATTACTCTCGTCATGTGACCCTCGTCTTCCGGATGGTCGACGTTAAACGTTGATGACGTTCGCGAAGTGAATATCACAATTAATATTAATCTGAGTTTTCCAGAACTTTCGGAATTAAAAAAAAAATAAGCGCACTTTCGCACTAATCTACGAATGCGCGAACGTTTGCGGAAGTCAAGCTATACGCGTCCTGAAAAAAATACGGAATTCAGGGAAAGAGGTGCGAGAAAAAAAATTTCGCGCGAAATAAAATCCGGGTCGGGGGTCCTTTAATTTGTACTAATATAGGACAATGTGCGTTATTTCGTTAATTTTGTTATTTGTCGTCTCGGAGGTACGTGTAGTGGCAAAGCAGTAAATTAACCGAAATCGAGCGGCTCGCTTACGTTCAGTCTCCCTCGGGGGTGTTTTTTCAGGGCACTCGAGGGTATCGTTGGACGTTTTCGTCTTTTTCGTGTCACCCGGTAGAAAAGATCGATTCGCTTTTTGGGAGATACAAGCAGCGTCAAAGGGTTAAAGCTTATCGCGTGGGAACTCTTTTACTCCGTTCGTTCGCACACCCAATGGAATTAGCCGTCGCTAACCACCCTCCCCGTCTGCCACCCCCGTCCCCGTACGTCTAACCCGCGCCAATAAGAACGACAGGGGCGCGTGCGCGTCCTTTCTTTCTTCGTTTTCTCTTTCTCTCTCTCTCTCTCTCTCTCTTCCTCCCTCCCTCCCTCCCTCTCTCCCGGGATGGCAGTTTCTCCGCCACGATTACCCCAGAAATCTTTCTTCGGCTAATGCAAGAACTGTGTTTCCGGCGGTTCGCCCGATGCTTCGCCTACCTCCGGGGCGGACAAGCACGTACACACGCGGGCGGGCGCGAGCGCGCGGACGATGGCGTGCATTTACAAGTGCGACTTGCCGCAGGGGCGGGGGAGGGGGAGGGGTGGGAGAGCGGGTTAGAAATAGGAGGGTGGACAGCTCCTGCGCGCTCTATAATGCGGTAACGGTGAGAAATATTTGGGCAAGAGTAAAGGGGTCGGGCTGAGCTGCGCTCGTACCGGAAACCGGTAATTTGCAAACTGTAGAAATTCGTAGAAATTTCAAAGAAGAACCTGTTAACTCCGAGACTCCACGGGGATGTTCCGTGAGCTCAGCCCGTTCTACGGTAAATTCGTATGCCTCGCGGGCGGTCGCGTACCTCGTTTCGCGTAAGATGCGATCTAATATATTCGTCTGATTTAATTTCCGCGCATCACACGCGTGTAATTAACAGATCGCGGAACGTGATTTTCGAGTTAAAGGGGGCCGTGTTTGGCTGGCGTGATACGCGTCTGTGCGAAACACTCGCATAAAGGGGCGGCTAGTGCGAGAGACGACCGAAAAAGGTTGCATCGTACGCGAGGTAGGAGGAGTGCTCTGAAAAATTCGATGCTGATACGCGCATTCGATACTCGAGAGGTAGCATACGCGGCGCATGTAGGACATGAAGGACATGGATTATACAAGGGACGTATAGGATACGCCTCAACAATCTCACATGTCCCATGGGCATGTTCGAAAATCTTATGAACGTTTTTCATACATGACAAATAAACGTACGAATATTTCAGAGCTCTACAAGCCCCGTAAGGAGCGCGGTCCTTTCACGTTCTAAGCTCCGTCTATATACGTACCTGTCTATCGCGAAATAAATTGATATAATTGCGAGAATACGTGGGGAACAAAATGTAGCTGCCGTAGCTAAAAACTGCACGTGGTAACGAAATTTCAGCTGTAAAATACGGACAGCTAATATTTTGCTACTCCGCCTATTGTATTAGATGCGACAGCAAACCGTTTGCCGTGCTTTAGAAATTTATAGTTGATGCAGCTAAATAGTTTTTTTGCAAATCGTGATTAGCTACGGTAGCAAAAATGTTTTTTTTCAGTGTAGGCTGCATATGTAATATAAAGTTACGCGTCCAATGCATGCCGCATCGCACTTCGCACTCTTAATTCCAAATTTCCACGTAAATACCTGCCGAAGGGGCATCGTATATTTTCACGCCCGCTCCGTTTATCCAATTACAAATTTGCTAATGCGATACAGTGTAATATCGACAGATTAAAGGAGGGATGCGAAGCATTTCCTCAATGGAGCGATTTCCTTGCCGCGCGAATACGAAATTAAGCTTTATTACTGAAGATTTGCGCTAATTACGTACTATTGCCCATATTCGGCATAGGGGCGCGCGATACGATGGTCCGCTCTATTTGGCCGATTACAGTGCTTTATGGTAGCCGCGCCGTGTACCGCTGCACTCAGCGCTAAGTCCCGGATTTCAATCCCATCGTCGCTTTGTTTATTTCACATGCGTGCGGTTTATTCAGGCGCCCCGCCTTTGTAAGACGGTCTATGCCGTGTGTCATAACCAAACGATCGGCGGGATATATCCCTACAGGCCGGCTACAGCCGGGGTGGTTTCCGCAGTTTCCGCGCGTCCTAATGCGAATGCGGTGTTTCTAATTTAATATCTTAAGGACCGGCATTTACCCACGTCAGCTATGCCGGATTAGGATGTCAGACGCAAGGGAAATACACGCGATTCCCGCAATTTACGTCCGCGTGAGTGACTTTTCACTAAGCAAACCTCTCTTTTCGGTTCCCGAGATATACGGCAAGTTTATAAATCGTTTCGCAAGACACATCCCCTTCGACGGCGCGATGTTAACGAAGATCCTCGAGATCGCAGTTTCTAATTTTCCTAATAATTTCACTTAGCGTTCGGCAGCTGATACATTTTGAATAGGCTCCATCCAAGTGGCGAGGTTTTCGTAAAATGGAAAATTATGCAAACGAAATTTCGATCGATTGTATTATGAAATTATTTCGATATATTGCACGTGCAATAATGTAACATTTTTATCCCTCTCGCAAGTTAGGGGGAGATAATTTCGTTAAAAAAGTCGATAGAATATTATCCGAAAAATTTACGTTTCTTCAATATTTTCGATATTGCACTTTCAATATATCTATCGCGGGCCTGCGATGCTTTTTATATTTTTGCGTAAGTCATAAATATGTCTTATAGAATATGCTCGGTGTCATTTCGCGCTGCTAAACGCCTAGAGTGATACACTTTCTCCCAAGTATTGAATAAATGATCACGTCAAAGCGATCCTCTATATCGCCTGGCATGTTACGCGTCGTTGCATATTAATGCGAATCCCTTTTTCCATCCTTGTGTTTCATTATCGCTTTACAACGTGTCAATATATGTCGATATATCGATTACAAAGAAGGCTTTCGTCGCCGTAATCTTGTCACTTTAGCGATTTTCTATGAATAAACAATCTTTTTCTTTTCATAAAAATATTACGCGTAAAAAAAGGTACTCCTCTGCTTTTCGTACGATATAAATGTTGCGGAATGCGCGACACATTTATAGAATGTGGCGTAATTATAGAACACGTAATAATATCCACGGTCTTTTACGGCGTCGCAGGCTACGTAAAGCCTCTTTTTCAACGAGGCGTGATTTGCCAGGAGTATGGCACGTCCAACCTTCTTTTGCGTCTCTTTAAACGACTCTCCAAATAGTATGGCAAAAGAATAGAAGAGTTCACTCACCGAGAATCTGGCTGAGGACGGTGCGACCATCTTCACCGAGGCACGCACTGCGTGCGTCAAACGGATTTGTGAACTGCACGAATGCGTAACCCTTGTGCATAGAAATGCCTGAAAGAGTATGAAAGGTTAATTACATTTCGCAGACCTTATAAAATAAATTAATTCGTGCATGAAAAATATCAATGCCTCAATCGTTTTACGGTTTTAAACGTATTATTCTCGGCAAACACGCACCTTTTTTTATTATTTCCATTGTTTTATTCGAGACGAACTTTATATTCTTTATTTAATTATTCAGCATTTGAAAATTTAACACATGGTTTGTAACAATGACCGGTACAATTGTTTGTCAGTAAGTTATAAACGAGCTCGGGAAAGCATAAAAATTCTCATTAATATGTTCATGTGAAAAATATACAGTTTTATTTAAACATTTATTTTTCGACTTTAAAATCATTTTTTAAATATCTTTACAAAATATAGTTTACGGGCTTTTCATAATGGAGTAAATTCTATCTCTCGTTATAAATTTCAGTAATGGAGACGATCGCGAATGAGTCCTTTTAAATAAACCATCCTGTTTATCCTATATGTTTTATACATGAAAGAATTGCAAAATAAATGATAGAAATTTATAAAAACAGTTAAACCGGAAAGAGAATCGCACGAGTTCTAAGAATATTCACAAACATTTGGAAAATATGTAATACATCGGCTCTTGTAATTGTAATAGCTACGAACTTTTTCGAATTACTCCTTTTTTTTTCCTCCAAAGAACTATTCGCGCAGATGCACATAGAACGAAATTTTAATTGAATAAACTTTAACCGGGGGCAAAAATCTCCAAATTAAATAACGACATTTCCGAACGATTAAATACAACTCTCCGGGGAATATTAAACATTTTTGCAAACCAAATTAATAAAAACAAGAGCGCGTTGTTGCCGGTCGATTTTGCCGGAGCGGCAAGTCGCACGGACGCGACCTGTAATCTGTGTACCCGTAATAACTTTTGCGTGGTTAGCAGCTGACCATGCATGGAATTCATTATGCCGAAACAAATATGTAAATCTAACCCATACGCACACTCGCACTCACACAGACGCGTACGCGGGCGTGTACGCGCTAGAATGCAAATACTGTCCGTGCGAATCTGCCCTCCCCCTCGCCCCCTGCGCCGCTTCATCGCGAAGCTCGGCGCAAGAGATGTTCATAGCTTTCATCGTCGCTATTGTTATCAGCTCATTCTTCAGTACACACCGGTTGTTGAACAGACAGATTTTTAAAACACCGAATCTCAGTCTAATACGCTCGTGAAACGCTAGTAGCGATAAATTACGTTATCCTCTCCCTTATGTGTGTCTACGTTTCTTCATCTTTTTCTTCGTTCTTTTTATAATAGAAGCTTCCCAACAATGGGGAAAAATGGAACGGAATTAGACGTTGCAAATTTTCGCCAGCTATTTTAAAGTTCGAAACAATTTCCGATTGTTGAACAACTATTAGTGTTTCGAGTTTTTCATAAAAAGATGATTTTGGCCAAACAGTCTTAAGCTAAAATAATATGTATCTTATTTCATCGTAGATTTATTTCTATTCAATATTTTATAAGAGTTTAGCAATCTGATTAGCCCATTTTTCAAACTCAATTCTAAATGGCATAATTTGTTTTACCTAATTTAATTAAACGATTCTAATTTAAATTGTAGCAGGCAATATTCAATTTCCTGGATATTCATAAAATATTCAAATTTCATATTATTTTAATCATGGCCCACAGTATTCAAATCTTTCAAGCGTTATACGTAATAATAATCCTGATCAGCATATGTTAGTACGTAATGAGTATATAATGAGACATGTTAATGTCTCTTACTTATGAACGCGGAAGTATATGACAAACATGGAGATCAATAATAAGATATACCTCAAAAAAACACACACTTTCTGCATGTTCGCGACAATCGAAAAATCGGTCAAATAGAATATAATTAAACGATAAAAAAATGTATATATCTTTATATTTTCAATTTTAATTTGTTAATTATAATATATTATTGAATCATTATTACTAAAAATTCTCGCAGAAATTCCAGTTAAACGTAGCTGTGTAATATCTATCATTTCTTAAATTCTTTGTTAAACTAATTACAGAGTGCCGATAGTTTTATTTAGAATTCGGAAAAATTGCGTATATAGGCGCGTAACTGTAAAACAAAAAAATAAATATTTGAAATAATTTAGCAGATATTTTATCGTATACGTAAACACATGTTTTCGCATTACTATCGCCGTTAGGGTCGCACTTGACATAATTTTTTTTCTCGAATTTTAATCTTCAGATCTATCTATTTCTCGTTTTCCAAGCAAGAGTAAATTTATCATGTATTACATAGCGATCCCGTCGATCTCCCGAAACATTTAGCGCTTCGGAGCTCGACTCTCCGATAAAGCACTATATCATCCCCATATCTCAAAGCTTAATCCCACCCCTCACATTTTCAGGGCAGCGTATCGGTCGAAAGGAGATCGTCGTGTCGATCGTATCGATCTTCGATCCCCGTAACGTAACTCGTCATCGCCGTAACGTTTATTCCGGAATTTAAATCGCTGTCTGCGCGCATGTCATACGTAAGGGGACGGCGGAGGTGTTATGTGTGCATTTGTGCACGCGAGACGGGTGCGGGAGTTCGATATCGGCGCTCAAGAGATCGTTCCGCGACGAAATTTATTCTGGTCATAAAAACCGCGATAGCGAAATGCGCGATCGTAAGTGCAAGTATATGTGCGAGGTGCGGGCCGGTTGATATGATGCCCTTCGCTCGTCATTATTTTATTTTTCGGAACTCTGGATACTATTTTCGGGCGTGGTTAAACCCTTTTCTAGCGTATAGAATTAATTCGTCAGTTATGATAAATGCTTACACATTCTTCTTCCTGCATTTTATCGTTTTCATAGAACGATTTAAAGTTCTTTTTTTATCGTTTTATCGTCTAACACGCGTAAAAACAGTTAAACTTAAGTTCTTGCAATCCTCGCGTAAACGTGGTAAATTGTTTTCATTACGATGATCGATTCACTTTAGCCGGGTTTTGTCTAATAAAAACCGAAACTATTTTAATATAGAAAGAATACGTTTTCTAAATAAAAATATTTATTCGATTTCGATATCGAAAACCGCATCCCGACAAGAACGCATCAGAAAACCGTTACGGAACTATTTGAGATATCGGTCGCTGATCTCGTTCTAGTTATTAATAGTAACGTAAGTAACGGACGATTCTACTGTAGGATTTCAATCGAAAACGAAAGGTCGATTCAAAATTGGTATCGTAATGAAATTTTAATGTCGTAACAAAATTTAATTCAAAATGAAGAACAGAATTATTATAGGATATCGGTGTCAAACTCCAAAAAAAGATTCCAAACAAAAATTCTGATAAATATTTCATTTCATTGTTTATTCTACTAGACGTCAGAAAAATCCATTTAAAGCAGACAAGAATTCTCATTTCTGTGTCGTTTCAATTCGGTATGTCATTATTTTCAGGACTTTAAAGTTTTAAAGTATTAAAAAACGAAAACAATTAAATATAGATGAATTTAACAATAACAATTTTAATTTTCCAAGTTTAAATAATAATATAATTAGAAAAAAGTAAAAATTACGAGAAAATTAGTATGTGACAAAAGATTTTTCTAAACGAGATTCTGTATTAAACAGACGACGGACAAACCTTAGCATTTCCTTTGATATAATACGTGAAACAGTAGCGTTTGTAAAAAATCTACTGTTAAATTCAGAAAGTTTAAACTTCTAACTAATAAAAAAGTCGTGATTTATTTACTCGCCTTTAGTTCCAAATAAAAGACCGAATATATAGATTCAATTGTGAGAAAAGTAAAATATTGAAATGGAAAAATGGAAATCAAAGTTTGATTCAATAGAAATATCTCCATAAAAATAGACAAGTCCGCCCTTTGTAACAATTATTTGTATTTTTCGTAACTATGTTTTTTATAAAAGTCGTCACTCGCCAAAGTGACAACCAAGTGCCTCGATAACAACAGTACTGTGTTGAGGGCCTGTTGCAGTGAATTTTTCCAATGTTTTGGCATTTATATAGAACAAATATCGACTTTATATTGGAAAACTTGTCGACAGAGAGACTCTCTAGTGTTGTTATCTGGGCATTCGACAGTACAGATTTAAATCATTCTATGTGACGATTTCTTCCAATACAACTGCATATAGGATGTCCAAAAAATATCGTCATTCTGTTCGTTTAAGTTCTTTGGATAACTAAAAATTGAATCTTTTATGACTGTTTTTCAATTTTTTTTCAACGTTAAATATATATCTTTGTAACATAAATTATTAATTATATGCCTTTTATTGAAATAAAACTTAAAGAAATTGAATAAGGAGCAATTTATAATTGTTAATTAAGAAAATTTGCTTTCTTGTTCTGGTAAAATATTTCCATTTAATCATCAGCGTCCAAATGTTGAAATAATCGTAATTTAAAAAAAATTGATCCGCGTTAATATTTACAGTTTTAATAACAATTTTTTTATTTATTATTTGAGTATTTTTTACGCAAAGGCCAGAACGCAGCGTTTAATAATTTCTCTTCGTTTTGTCTTGTAGATTAGAGATGTAGAGTTTCACGCGGGAAAATTATTGAAACTAGAGCGATCTTTGTCGAGGATTTGGTTTTTAAACCGAATTTCAAACAAAAACAATTCCCCAGAAAGTCAGAGATTGTATACATTTTCGCGTTAAACGTTGTTTGCAAAAGAGATTCGATTCGTAGAATTTGTAATTTATCTGCTATCGCGCAATGCACGCGGCGTCGCCTCCGTACAGGACGCGACTTATCCTTCGTATCGGCGTCCCTCTAATCCGGCGAGCGCCTTAATTCCTGCAAGGACGAAGTTGCCCTTATTGTCTTCGTCCTTTATTGAGAAAGTAAGCTGTTTATCGGCAGCTAGCAGCGCTTCTTGTAATTTCGACATCCGACATTTGAAATTGCGATTTTGCCGGACAGAGCGGGGGCAGGATAACTTCCCAGCGATATCCGGCGACGCGCTCGACGTTGGAACGCCAATATCACCTGCGTCGGCACGAAGCTAATTCCGCAGTATTCTTCGTCCTTATTATATAATCTTATCCCGTTGGCACTGCTTGTCACATTATTTATCGCGCTACATTCATTTCTCTCGTATATTATTTAACGTACGTGTAGTGTAAGTTAAAGTTAGAGTTAGAGCGGGCAAAAAAATTGTAAGCTCAGCTCTATACATACATGTATATAATCTCTCAGTTAAATGTCTTAATAAAATTTTTACTTGAAGTTTAATCTTGAAGATGTACAATGTTGAATGTTTTAAGAAATCGTTGCGACTTTGTAAATTTGTTAAATAACTTGTTAAGATCAAAGTCATGGCTTTCCTTGTGTGTGTACGTGTACATAATAAGAATTGTAATAAAAAGTTGACAATAAATTCAATAAAAAAAAAGCGAGAGATCTGATATCATCTCGATCGTCGATCTATTATGTCCGACCTCGCATGGTCATTCTCGACTTATCATTGACCGTCTATCTATCACTCCAGATCGCAATCGTAATTTCATTCCCGAGGAGGGACAAGACCCCGCGGAAAAATGATTTTCCGGGATAACAAATCCTGCGATTGCGGAGTAAACGAGGTTACGGCTTACAAAGGAAGAGAAGGTAGCGGCAGTCATCGTGCCGCTCCTTCTGAAACTGGAGACCGACGGATATCCAATTCGAGCTATCGAAGGTCAAGTCGCCGTGGCACAAATTGCGTTACCGGGATCCCATTTTCCCGGGGACCCCGCTGCCCCTTCCGCTATTCTTCCCGATGCAATTTTTCCGCGCCGGATAATAAGTTATTCGATCGCGAATTATCGAATGTTATCAGGCCGCCGATTTCTCACGCGATTCGATTTATCGGGAATGCCCCGGGAAGGATTGAGAACAATATTCGGAAATAACCAAATGATTCTTTCCTTCCGCGGGATAATCGATTTTTATCTATCTTCACGTCGCTATCTTACTTTTATGAATATCGCTGTCTTTTTTAGATTTGCCGGGAATAAAGTTCGTACTTGGCGGGATTAACGTTCGCGCGTGTGTGCGAAGGGATTGCGAAGAAATTATTCCGATGGAATCGCTAGGCTGCTAAATATTTCCGCGAGGTATAATTGAAACGAATTAAGATGCGAAGAAGATAAATGAAATCGGATAGCCTGACCTAGATATAAATTTACCATTTACGCGGAGACACATTTAATCCTAGATACACAGAACAAATATGGATTTTAACGGTTTAAATAGGGTCAAATCCCTTTGCTTATATCCATAATAAATCGCTTTTAAAACAGTGCTTCAAAATACAGTGATACAGTGATTCAAAAACAAATTTTGTAAAAATTTTAAAACATAAGTAGTAAAACACTCCTAAATTTTCCGTCTCTTTTTAAATCACTCGTTTTTAAACAAGATATGTTTAAGCTCTTTATTTTCCATGGTCTATTTATTAAGCATATTTTTCAAGAGATATTTTTGACAGATATTTTTTTAGCATTTCACTTTTTCGTTACGTTTTTATGGAGTCTGCTTTTTATCGTTCTGTTTTTCAGCGTATCTAGTTTAAAGCATGTATTTTAAAGCATATACATATAAAGATTTGTGCGCAGAGCTTCTTGGAACTCAGTTTTTAATGACCTCATCTCGGTAGTTTAATTTTTACCAATTACAATTTTTGCTAATAAACTTACCGGCCAGGCGGCCATAGCGTTGGAACATTCTTTCCACATCGGTCTTGCTACATTGAAATGTATTCAGGTTCCCGACGAACACGCGTGAATTCACCGCCTGTGGGTCCTGCGAATTGGTCTGGTTGCCCACTTTGCTCATCTTCATCGCCTGAAATCAGAGAGAAAAGAAAATTCAAATACCAGTTCTTCTGCTTTCGTAAATAATAATTAAATGAAAAACGTGGAAAGTATAAAAATGTTCGCAAGATCTACATTAAATATTACTCCAGAGGTCATCCGCGTTTTTATTCACAATAAATGTACGCCCAAAGAGAAATTATCTAGGGCAGAAACAGCTTTCATAGTACCTTCCAATGAAAAAGAAAAGTATCGAAGATAAAAGTAATTTCACGAATATCTAAAATAGAATCTCAAACAAATTAAGGTGCGATATGAATCTTGGCTATTTAGAAGTATTATACTTAATGTTTATTTAATCGATTTAATACAGGTTCGTTCAATTTTCACATTTTACTGTTGTGTTATTTTTAAGAAAGGGGCTAAAGAAACGGGAAAAGGGGAGTGACGGATTAATTCAATTAATCGACACAGGCATCGATTAATTCCGCAAAAATGGCCGGCTACCACTAACGATCTCGTTAGTTTTACGCGTTATTTCGCAAAAGTAGAAAACGAACTGTTGCACAATGGGATTGCGAGGCGTTAATTAATCCACAACGCGCCAATTAGTGATTGCGAATGTCCCTTTGACGCTAGAAAGCTATCTACACATTCGCGTGTATTGTAATCATCATCGTCATTACTATTTGTTATCAGTTGTTTTATTTTGCTTTGTACTTTTCACTTGGGTTGTACACCAATCATTCGTTCAACAACGTATTTAAGACAGGTCTGCCTATATTGAATTTGTCTTGATGAATGATTAAAACGTATCGTGCAATCTGTCGCAACACCTAATATTATACATAGCTATGGATACATATGTATGTACCCATATTTCATATTTAACCTATTAATACGTTTAATGATGTATGCACATACGTGCTATATACCAACTTATCGCAATGCTCAAGACGGATATATAACTACGTCGAATTCGATTTAAAGGAACCGAGTAAATGATTAAAGCCACAGAGAGGGAGCAAAGCCATTGCGCATAATCCAGTATGTCACTTAAAGGATTCAGCAAGTTTGAATTGACATCATCGGTAATAATAATCGACGGAATAATTATCACAGGTCGCGCGGCACGTTTGTGTAGATCCTTCAGCAGTGTCTTCAGTAAAATTCACGTTGTTTTTACAACGTATCACACGTATCTTCGCCTCTGCTGTCGCTCGTCACACGAATCCAATTTGTAACTTTGATTGCTTGCGACGGAAAAGTTTATCGGGGGGATCATCAAAAAGCTCGCATCACCGATAAACGGGAAACGATTATCGATTTCGCAGGTGTATCAGGACGGCGATTGACACCGGCACGACGCCAGTATATGTGTATTTATTAAAGAGTTGTTCTCCATAAATATCGACAGTTATACGGCGGGATAGCCCAGAGGTTGGGGCAGATATTGGCTTGCACGTCAAAATTAGTAATCGACGCGTCGGTGGATTTAATCGACGAAGAATCGTCGTTTCGCTTCCGATTTTACGACGCGGAAGTGAGCCCGGTAACACCGGCCTCGATTAAATCTATACCGGACGTTCCTAAAATATCCGGCTAAACTTTACTATCTTAATCAGCTGATTGTTTTGAGGACAAAATGACGTATCTATGAGTCATTAAAACACATTTTTTCTGATTAAATGTTACAAGTCGGTATTAATCATTTCCAAGATTTAATTATTATTAATGAAATTGATTATTTGTGATTGCTGAAGAATGAAAAATATAAGTGTTACTCGTAGCTGCTTCGTCAGAAATTAGGGTTATTTAAATTTGTAGCGCGCGATAATCCCAATCAGCTCGACACTTGGCAATGATTCTCGCGGCGGATTTCTAATTACGTTCTAGTTGGGCCGGACTAGAATTCAGCTACCACGTCGTCTGTTATTTACGGCATGAGCCAACCTAAAGGTATGCCCACTATTTGAAACGTTAATTGTTCTTACGTATTTCTTACGCAAATAATCATGAAGGTATATTTTCTCAAAGTAAAGTCGCATGGAACTGTGATTGGGAAAACTCTGTGAAAATTTATCATTTTTCCCCCTTTTTGAATAATTCTTTTATAATAGAATTTTGCTTTTCCTAGACATTTGTAGAGTGTACATTTTATTAAATTAACTGTAGAAAAACAGTTTTTCGGGAATTCCTGTTAATTAAAGCTTTTTTTTTTTTTTATTTTCGTTGTGACCGACAATACCGTATAACTTTTTCGCCCTCTCTCCGCAATTTATAATAAAATAAAATTGATAGAACTGGTTTACTTTACTTTCCTATACAATTTTTCTTTCATTTACTCAAAAAGACAAATATATGACATACAATATTCTTTGGGAGAAAATTTTTCACCTTTGTACAACTATTATTTTTTACTAATAGTATTTTCTATTTCATCTAATATATTTAATAATTTTTAAGTGACATACCACGCATTATTATTAAATTATTTATGAATGTGTGATATTTGTACCTAAAAGCTACAAAATTATATTATGCACAATACTGATCGTTATTATTAATCAAACTATTTAATTTCGTTATCGACGTCTATTTTAAATGTATCTTGATTGCGTCGTCAAGTGTCTAAAATTATTATTACTATAGACTGATTATAGCTATCATTAATATATTAAAATCAACTCGCACCTTGCGACGACATAAGTTCTGGGAAGGAGGAACTTAGAGGATTATTCATAATTTATGTAAGAAACGAAACAAAAGCTGCAAAAGCTGTCGCATAATTTTATCCTACGGACCGTCGAAGTTTGGACGTCCCGATAATTTCCTCTCTTGCGGATTTCCAAGTGGTTTCAACTTCCTCAGCTCTTTATGTATCCATAGAAACTGTGTGCCGCAGACACCAGAGTAAAGTATTGACACTGAATATCTTTTTAAAATTCGGCAATCAGCAAAAAATAATTCATAAATATGTAATAATACATTTTGCTAAATCCGAGTTATTTTACATTCTGAATCATTTTACTGAGTCGCTTTAACGACGGTAGAAAATTCAATGAATGCTCGAAATACTATCATTTGAATTTCAACAAGAAACCCTCCTAAGATCAGAATATTCAAATAACAGAAAGCGAAGTTGCATTTTCAATTCAATTAAATCGAATCATTGAGGTTTTCGATTACACCGAAAATTCGGTGTAATCGATTCTATTCAATTCTGTCTTGCATTTTGTGGTTACCAACGCCATTTCACATCAATAAATCGTTACCATAACAAGCTCGTACAATACCGTAGACCAAGCTTTCTGAAAATGACTAATAACAATAGCTGACAATAATACAACTATAACTAATTTAGTTATTATATAAGAATTTTAAATAAATATGACAAATCATGTAAATCTTGAATAACAAATTACTTATTGAAAGAGTTAGTTTTACATTGTTTACAATACCGATAATGTTACATAATCATGTGATTTTACATCGTTATTGATATGAGTTGCAGAATAAGCTCATGCGCGCAAAATTGATCCCGTTCGTAACTTTCTGCACGCATGCACTTGGATAATTAGCGCTAATTAGGAAAATTGACGAGCGGAAGACCTTAAATTCTTGGTGAGGTGCAAGTAAACAATTACGCGCGTTTACTTTGAACTATTCATGGCAAGACGCGAGCGAACGTGAAGCGAGGTGAAAGTTGTACAAATGTTTACCCTGGAAGTGAACCGCACAAGTGACTATGAAGATGATAGAAGTTGAACAAAGGATGGAAAGAGAGAGAGAGAGAGAGAGAGAGAAACTTGTGAGGAGGGATTTAAGTGATATCACTCAGGAGAAAAAGAGGCTTGAATCTCCGAATAATGATGGCAAGATTTAAAGAATCGAAAATACGATATGACATTACACCAATACAAAGTACATGCAATGAGAAACTCTGTGGAAATAGCACATTGTTTTTGTAATCTCGATATAATAGAGATTTGGGGCTTTTTGATTTAACCGCTCGTGTAATGACGGCTTGTTCAAATCGTTTTATAAATAATTACTATTTCTCTAATAATCTGTAATTTATAATTATAGATTTACATATTCATAATCTGTATAATTTATAATTACAGAGTTACATATTAATATGTATAATTACTCTATAATTAATCTGTAACTTATAATAACAAATTAAATTTACAAATTTACATATTAATTATTATAACAGACCTATTCACTGTATAACTGAAAATTTACCCACGATAAAAACCATGCTAAATGCTTATCCTGCTGATATTTTCAATTCTATTGCATTAATATTACCGTACTACGACGTATTCCTGTAACAATCAATTAAATTACATATTATATGGTACGTTGTTGCTGTTGCGTTGAGTATGCAACAGAGATAGCGCTTATTATGATTTGAGATTAGTTGCATTTAACGTATTATGTAACACACTATATGTACATTGATATTTGAGAAGAGTATCAAATATCTCTAAGGTAAAAAGATTATTGTAACTAACTGTAAAGTGATACGGTGGTATCTGACGTAATATTTTTTTGCAAAATAATAAAAGTAACAAATAAAATATACTTCTATTGCAGCAAATATTTCCCATAACACGGTACGTGAAATTATAGATCAAATTCGTGTATTATAGATACATTTTAAAATAAACTTAATACACTAATTAACGATGGCGTACTGATTACGGTACGCCAAACGTACGCGTATATTGTGTTAAGTGACGCAATATTGTGCAATCAATAATTGATTACATTGTTAGAATCAGCCACAATGCAGCACAACTTATTCACATACACATCGGACGTTTGATTGATATAATACATGTAGAATAATGCAATAATAATGTTAACAATGATACAAAGAAACTATAAATAAATAATTTTATCGAGGAGTTTATAGATTCAATTGAAACGACACAGTCTCGCTGATATAATAGTGCTAATGTACTAATAAAAAATACTAATAAAGAGAGAGATAGTAATATAAAAATGTATTACATGTAA